AATGAAGGAAATTATTGAAAAAATATTGAAGGAAATTATTGAAAAATTGAAACAAATATTATAGATGAAGGAAATATTGGAAAAAATATTGAAGGAAATATTGAGAAATATATTGAAGGAAATATTGAAAAATATTGAAGAATTAAATATTGCAAATGAAGTGAAGAATTGAAAGAACTTCACCATATTTATAGAAGAAAAGAAATGTTTAAATTAAAAAAAAAAAAAAAAACCCCCAACAACTAGCTAACTCAGCTAGCCGTTATATTCAAAAAAATTTCAAACTATTAGTGTTGGTTATAACCAACACTAATAGTAAATAAATTTTTTTTTCCTATGAATACCTATTATTGTCGGTTATAACCGACAGTATTAAAAAATCATTCTTTAATGCTGTCGGTTATAACCGACAACAATAGGAAAACTATAAAAAAAAAATAGCCAGCCAGGCCCTTTGAAATTCCATGGGGCCATCCCAGATTACCGAGCCCTTTGGCCTAGCCCTCGGTTGGAGACAGTTTTAGGGCTATTTTCGGCCCTTTGACCCTCTGGACCCTTCGGTTGGAGATGACCTTACATTCCAAATGTACCAAGAAATACAAAAAATCAAATCCACTATAAAACTAAATGTGTCCATATTATAGGTAACTAGACGTAGCTATATAATCAAACAAATCTTTACTATGTGTTGGGTCTTCTAAATAATAAAATTTGACAATTTTTTTTTATAAATATTCTACTATATTCACAAAAAAAAAAGTAAAAATTATAACAAACAATAAAAAAAAAGCATAGAGATGGATAATAAATGCATAAATATAGGGATAATAGGAAAAGAAAAATAAAAGAAAACGAAATGCCTAGGAGATGGATAATAAATGCATAAATATAGGGATAATAGGAACTGAAATTAATAACCAAAATTTTAGGAAAATGTTTGATCAAATTTTCAAAATTAGTGTATGTTTAGTCTAAAAAAATTAAAAAACGAGACGCTTATATCAAAATGCTCATTTTTAAAAAGTAAAATTTTCTATAAATTTTCTTTTACCTTATATTTTTTATACAATATTTTATAATATTAACATAAAATTTGACGTTAAATTATAAAATAAAATAAATTAAAAATAATCTTAATTTGAGAGAGTTTTTTACCATAATCAACGTGGTCAACAACATCGAGCTTATCGCAAATTGCAAGCGTTTGAATCACCGACAAGTTGACTTCATTTATAATCCCAAACAAATAAAACAATGCAGAATGGTAGAAAATTACAAACTTCGAAAAAACCAGTTTGCCACTTAAAATACTAGTTCGCGTAGCGGAGGATCGGGATGGGGTTTGTTGAAAAAACTTGTCATACATCGCTTTCGTTAGTACGTCGGTATTTCAAGTTAATAATGCATTTTATATGAAAATAAACATGTAAAATATAGATTTATAAATTCGTGACGTTCTATCCAATAATCTAAAATAAGTGACATTGTATTACGCACACCTTATTCTGAAACCGTTCTGTGCAGGTCCTCCTACAGATGGGTTGTCTTGCATTGTCGCTTTGCACTTGAACTGGACCGACTCCACTAAGTACCGTGCGATTCCTGCCTTGCTCCACTTCAAAAACTCTGCAATTTTAGTCTCTTCGGATCTTTCATTCCCTCGATAACAATGGCTTCCCCTCCTTTTCTTTCATGATTTCATCACCGTCGCCAGTTTTTTCTCTCACTTCGAACTGTAAAATCTTTTCTTAGTCACCTCACCTCACCTTACCAAACCAAGATCTTTCTGCTCATTACCTGCTTCCTTATTCTGAAATATTCTGCAGTATACTGAATTTAACGGCTGGACGTGCGCTCAAGAATTCAGCGGAGTTCAACGGTTGAATCTGAGCAACAGAACAACTTGGACTAACTAGCTTTTCTGGGTTAATCTCACTTTCTTCAAAAAATGAACTTCTGGGTTCCTCTCTGTTTCTTTTTGCTCACTCTATCCATTTCGCCTCCGGTCTCAACCGCTCAGCTCACTCCGACCGAAGTTCGAATCCTCCTCCAAGTGCGGAAGCTTCTCGAATACCCCGAGCCTCTTCGGGGATGGACGAACTGGACCAACTTCTGCTTCCTCCCTCCCTCCCCCTCCCTCACAATCGTCTGTACAAACAACCGCCTAACCGAATTAACCGTCATCGGAAACAAAACCAAAACCTCCCCTCCAAAACAGAGCACTCTGTCCAAATCCTTCTCCATCGACTCCTTCTTCACCACCCTCACCAAGTTGTCCAACCTCAAATCCCTCTCATTGGTCTCCCTCGGCCTGTGGGGCCCGCTTCCGCCGAAGATCAACCGGTTCTGGTCGCTCGAAACGCTCAACCTCAGCTCCAACTCCATCTCCGGCAAGATTCCGGCTTCTCTCAGCTTCATCAAGAATCTCACGAGCATAAATTTGGCTGACAATTCCCTCAACGGAAGCGTTCCGGATCTCAGACCCCTAACATTTCTCCAGGAAATCAACCTGGGAAACAACAAGTTGGGTCCTGGATTTCCCTCGTTGGGAAACAGTATTCAAATCATCGTTCTCAGAAACAACTCCATGAGATCTGAGATTCCGACGGGACTGAAGAACTTCGATCAGCTGACGAAACTGGACATCTCCTACAACAAGTTTGTGGGTCCCATACCGTCTTTCCTCTTCTCGCTGCCCTCCGTTCGGTTCATCAATCTCTCCCAGAACCAGCTCACTGGGGCCCTGTCCACCAACGCAACCTGCGGCAAAAACCTCAGAGTTTTAGACATTTCCCAGAATTTGCTGATTGGGAAGCTGCCCACCTGCGTCGGGTCGAACTCGAAGGCGTCGAACAGGACGGTTCTGGATTCGTGGAACTGTTTGTCGAGTGGGAACTCGAAGTACCAGCATCCGTATGCCTTCTGCCACAGGGAAGCTCTGGCCGTGAAGCCGCCGGCTGAAACTGCGGGGAAGAAGGAGGAGAACAGAATAAAGCTGGGTGTGTTGCTGGGTCTGATTGCCGGCATTGTGGGTGTTGCTGGTGGTGTTGGGTTGCTGGTTGTGGTGATTGTCAAAAGGGCAGGGAAGAGGAGCACAGAGGATCGATTTGACAGATCCAAGATGGAGAAAATCTCAGTCAGAAGCTCCCCAAAGCATAATGTCAATGCAAGTAAGTGGCTGTAGAGTGAAAAGTCTCTGACTTTATTGGCTGAAAAAATGAAATCAAAGTAAAAAGTGATTAATATTTGCATTTGGGTTTTTTAGGGCGTGTGCCCCAGTTGACGAGGCTGCTAACACTCGGGCTCCCCCCGTATCAAGTTTTCACGCTTGAAGAAATCGATGATGCAACAAACAATTTCGACGCTGCGAATTTGATCGCGGAAGGACCTCAAGGACAGGTATTGCATTGAATTTGAACTTGTTTGTCATTCATTTAGGACAATATCAGTATCACATGGATGAACGTCGGTTAATTAAATAAAAGAACGAACATCATGCACAGAGAATTTCTATTGAAACGAGATATTGCATTATGCAACATTAACAGGTGTACAAGGGGTGGCTGAGAGATGGTTCACAAGTGCAAGTGAAATGTGTGAAGTTAAAGCAGAAGCAGTTGCCACAAAACTTGAAACGGAGCATGGAAGGCTTGTCAAAGATGAGGCATAAGCATCTGGTCAGCCTTATTGGACACAGTGCTGTCACGTACCAGGACCATCCCACCGCATCTAACACGGTATTTATTGTTCTTGAGAACGTCACCAACGGGTCGCTGATGGACCATCTCACTGGTAAAGAACAGACGTCCTGCACAGAGAACTGTAATTGGATTAACTGAAACAGTTCTAATATGCACGGTTTGGTTTTGTAGATTGGAGAAAGAAGGAATGGATGAAATGGCCGCAGAGAATGGCGGTTACCATTGGCATTGCCAGAGGAGTCCAGTTCTTGCACACCGGCGTGGCTCCCGGCATCTTTGGGAACAATTTGAAGATAGAGAACATATTGTTGGATGAGAGTGTTTCTGCTAAAATCAGTAACTACAATCTTCCATTGCCATTTCAGGTGAGAATTGGCAAAAAGTAAACGAGCTTGAAAATTTTGAAAAGAAGGTGAAGTGTTTGTAGTCATTAACAATTGCATTCTCTAATTTGCAGGTTGGTTCGGAGAGTCATCTTCATGGAGAAGGGATTAATAGTAATTCCCATCTAAGCAGGTATTTACTTTTCTTCATCTTCTTCTGCTCCACCGCGGCATCTAAGTTTTCTTACGAGAATGGTACAAACGCAGTGCCGAAGCAGAGAAGGAAGATATTTACCAGTTGGGCATTATTCTACTTCAAGTTCTTACTGGTAGATTGACCAAATCAGCTACTGAATTGGATGAGCTTAGGATTCAGGTAAATCTTGTAGAAAAGAGTTGTTCTACTAACATTTTCCGTTGTCGCAGGAACTGAACTAATGTAGTGCGTTTCCTTTTCATTTCTAATTAACAGTTAGAAGAGAGCTTGATAGAAGGACCATCGACGCTACGAGAAATCGTAGATTCATCAATGATTGGGAGTTTTGCGTATCAATCACTGAAGACGGCGGTTGAAATCACCGTCAATTGTTTGAGCAGAGATCCGAGCAAGCGTCCTTCAATAGATAACGTTCTTTGGAATTTGCAGTATTCGATTCAAGTTCAAGAGGGATGGACTGGCAGTGGAAACCTCAGCGCACAAATGTAGTAGTTCTTTCGCGGGATTTACAGTTTCACTTGTTACTTGTTAGGCAAGGTGTCTATATGAATAAATCAAAGGCTATAAATTTTGCGTTTACTGTTTTCCGTTCACTCAATATTCTAAACTCTCTAATCTACGGCAAACATAAGCAGAACCAAACATGAATGCAAGGGGGCGGACGCATCAGACCCGGAAAAAAAGTGTACAACCGCCATGGATTCATGGTACAGAACTTCGCACGCGATGGTCGCGCGGCGATGTAGTGAGAGGCAAATGTATACAGCAAATGCATATCAATATTTACTTCATACCCCAGTCTACATGATATGATAGAGCAAAATTAAATGCAGTTTTAGATGGAAGAAAACTGCAAGGCAGGTGGTCCAACGTATTAGATATACGAGGCCTAAACGCCACTGAATTAAAAGACCAAGCAAAATATTTCACAAGATCGGAAAGCTGAGTTCTTCACAACACAAATGGTTTTCAAATTTCAAAGTTATTTAAACAGAGGCTGATTCAACTGATCTTCGAAAGCTCTCCATCAGGAGTCTGCATTTTAATCGGCAGTCCAACTCTGCTCCACAATCTCGCGGACTCTCCTATTGTATTCACGCTTGTTCTCGCTAAACATCCGTGCGGCTTCTGAATTTGCTGGAGAGTTTGGGTTTGGATCACACAGCAAAGACTGCAATAAGAAGAGACATATTAGGAAATAAAAAACAACATGGATAAAAAGGCCATTAGAAACAGAGTGAACTCCCTCAACAATCTTATATTTCATTCATCTATATTGACTAAAAGCCATATATCCACATAAACATATGAATATGTGTGTGCGCCTGTAAACGTATGAGAGAAGTAAAGTTCGGTTGTGTTGTTAAAAGAGAGTATAATCAGATAGTTTTGTATTAAAAACAATTCCCATGCATATAGTTATGGTAATAATTATGGGAAAATGGAAGTGTGGTTAGATACTGAGATGATTACTAATTTTATGCAACATGAAGCGGTAGCCAAGATCTGAGAGAGGTCCTATAAGAAGCACTTGATTGTCCACATGCTTTTAGAATTCTTGTTCTTTGAAATGAAAGGTGAAACAGACAGGGACACATGAAAATTCCATGTGGATAGAAGTAATAGACATAATTAGGCGTGAGGTGCATGTGCATGCATTGGCACGATGGTTGAAAGAAAACAGAAAAGATGGGATATTTTCTTGGAGGAAGAACTCAAATCAGTACAATCAATGCTTCCTTGCTCTCGTAGTACTCAAATAAATGCTACAAAACTTAGTTTTGGATTGGAATGAACAAGATGGGGCAGTTAGACCAAATTTGTGTGACGCAAAAGACAGCAACTTATCCTTTCATATATGGTGTGTGGCCTCTTACAAACATAGCATATGACACACGTAAACAATAGGTTCTCAATAAATCAAAGGATCAGAAGTAACCAAGCAATAAATAGAACATAAACAAATACCTGAATGGAGGTAAGTATAGCTGCTACATCATAGATAGGGCTCCACTGATTCTGTAGGATGTCCAAACAAATGCTTCCATCCGCATAAACTGAAATGGTAAGACAGACAGCTTAAAACTTGAAACAGCTGAAATCTTTCCAATTAATTGCATTCTGGTTAACTTGTTAAAACATATTCACAAATATGAGTGAACAACCAAGGCAACAAGCTGTGAAGGTAAAGATGATCAGTGATTCAATCTAAATTAACACATGTTTGCAAAAATAAAAATAAAAAATAAAAAATTAAATACTTCCATTTCCTCAGCTCCTTTTTCACCCATAAAAAGCTAGTTTGGCTAAGTAAATGAGTGTATGACCATTAAAAAGAAATAATGAAAGACATAGTTTTCTTCCAAAACAAGGTAATGACAGGATATGCCACATAAGAAGACTAAACCCTGATAAAAGCACAACACCAGAGAACAAGCTGCGCTATGATTACATATGCACAAATCCAAGAGGAAAACTGAGATAATGGATCCAAACACAATAAACTCCTCTACTAATTTAAGAACCTTCATAATTAACAATTATTGCAGTTTGTATTTGTATGTGCATGCATATGTACCAACTCATGTAAAAACGCAAAATGTGCATGCAGGTATGGGTGTGCAGTTTCTGTTTGAACTTACTATTTGGATGAAACATTCGAGAAACGAAACGCACAGTTGGTGGCTTATTTGGATAGTCCTCTGTGAATTGGAGTGTCAACTTAAACGTACCTGGGAAACACAAAAATATTTTTAAAGATGTAACTTAAAAGTTACACATGCAAGAAGAGAAATCCAATTGCAACATGATACAAAGTTCATCTCAGTTTTTACCTCCATCCCATGGGGTGTCATCGGGCCTGCAGTTCAAACAATGAAGTGCATAAATAAAATTATACGAGATCTCAAGAAAAACAATCAAACTAAACTGAAATAGGCAACAAAACACAATCTCCTTCGGAGACGTACCCAAATATAACAGCATTCCAAAGCATAATATTGTTGTCTTGAGGGGCACCGCTTATACCAGCAGGAGGATCCTGTTGCAACCTCTTGAAATCCCTCATCAGTCTCTTCCTTGAGGGAGTCGACATCCTCACCGCCTATATATTAGGACAACCAAAGAAATAAAAACACTCAGTCATGGTCGAATACTTTTCCAAACATGGGTGCCCAAACGTAAACATGCAGGCGGCGTTGGAAGCAAGTAATCAATTCATAACTTGCATCAACAGCGAATTGCAGAAAGTACAACCCAACCAACATGTTTAGGCATTCGAGCAACATAATTGAGGTTAAACAAAAACTTACCTAAAGATTAAACCTAGAAATGAACACAGATTCAAAGACTTCAATCCGAAAATCTCGAGTAACCTCTAAATTATAAACCAATATCAAAGCCCAAATTATGCCATATCCAAATTATTAAACAAAATATAATTGATTCCTATAAATAATTGACTGAATTTTGATGCACCTGAGCTCAAATAAAGTCTAAATCCAACACTAAATGGATCCAATTGCACACAAAATCTTAGTCAACTGGTTGCTATACAAGTTCGAGCTATAAACAAAAACAAAAACCACAACCATGCATAATCAAAATCCAAGATCCATATTCCAATCAGCTAATCACGTCAAGCTAAAATCATTAACGATAAAAAATGAATCAAACAAAAAATTAGGGTTTATTTTCTTGTATTACAATTAAGAAATTAGATCTTCTACGAAATCAAATTCCACACAGCCCACAAATCGGAGGAAAATTCAAATATTGCATCTGTTATAAGATGGCTGAAGAAATAAACCCAGAAATTAAGAAAAACCTGTTAGCCGACGGCAAGAGAATTTGATTCTCAAAGACAGATGTCCAGAACCGCGGGAACGGATGGGAAGCTCAGGAATTTTCCGCGAAACAAACAGATGGATGTTAAGATAGAGAAAACGGTGTCGGAGGAGGATTTCCGCGGTGGCCGGAGGATGAAGAGAAAGAGAGAGAGAGAGAGAGAAAGAGAGAGAGAGAGAGAGAGAGGGAGAGATAGAGGTGGAGAGAGTATTTTTAGGTTAACAGGTTTTTAAGCTGGGATTGATTTGGTTTTATATTTACAGGCAATTAAAAACGCTATTGGAATTTGGAAGTCTCTCAGGTCAGCGCTTATTCTCTCTCTCTCTCTCTCTCTCTCTCTCTCTCTTCCTGGCGCGTCTTCTTCTCTTTGCCAACTTGCAAAAATGCCAACATGACAATGGGGTGTCATCATTCATCAACCATCACCACATCAACTTCATGTATGGTACCATATCATTTTCATGTGTAGCGTAGGGCCATTAAGGTATTGGTGTTTATTATATTGTCGTACTATGAATCTGATTATACAATTGAACATAAAGTAGTGGTTGGAATAAGGAAGTGCGGCTTCCCTGAGTCGAAATAAGTTGCAGTAACTCAATTTCAATTTATTGTGCAAGTTTTGTAGTCACTTTGAAGTTTGTGTTTTTAACTTAATTACATGTTAACGATAACCATGCATACTGGATTTTTGCAGTATATGTGACCCTGTTTGAGCGTTGTTATGGCGTGAGGAAGATGTTGTATTCTAGTGTTGTTGATGAATCCGCTCGTGGATTATGCATTTGACATATGGCTAGAAGCGTTGTGGCGACTACGAATGCAATTTTCTTTTAACAAAAACAAACAATCTAGCATAATTTACTACGGTATGGTAACTTTTTACATTTATTGTTACGATGTTGACATGCTACACTAAGAGCCAGTTGGTACCTTGTGTAAAGAAAATTATAGCATTGATCCTTGAACTTTGACCAATTGAAATTTTGATCTTTGAACAAAAAATCTATGAGTATTAATCTATGAACTTGTTTCAACGTGAAGCAATAATTCTTATGAGCAACTCTGTTAAAACTTGCATGACTTATTTGCCCCTTATAGCCCTTCATTTTGAACAAAAATTCTAAACAAAGAATGACTATTATTCAATTTATTCTACATTGTGACAAAGTATTTTTCCAACATTAGGCAAAGCATTTTTCTTTAAAATGTAATGTTTATCAATGACTTGTGCGTGAGAACGCCAAATAAATATAATACGGAAACTAATTTCGTTGTTGGTACCGGGAAACTTCCTCATTTGGAAAGCCGTGTTGAAAGCGAATTGGCAAAATTAAATTAGCAAAAGTATGAATGTTGGACTAAAATGATGAACCAAACATGTCAACGATACTTCTAGATGTGGACCCCCCATATGCCATTCCTAAATATACATGCACGTATACGTTACCATTTGAGAATCCAGATTCTCGCCGGATTCGTGAATTATATTCGTTCATCGTACGATTAAAAATTATTTTAAATATTTTTATTTAAAATTAAATATAAACAGTACCTGATAAAAACTGATCACATAATATATGATGAACGAATATAATTTTACAAATTCCTAAGATCGTCACCAAAAGAATCTGAAGAAGATCATGTTGGTACCATTTGCATTCACAAAGTCACAATATCATTTGTTAATTTTATCAAATGGGTCCAACTAGTCACTTTATGTGTCAAATGTGGTAATCATTAATCCCAAATTTAATCTTAGGTTAAAATGCATAAATCATATGGTGAGTTTATAGTTATGGAGTCTGATTTTCTCTCTTCCTAATTCTCTCTCCTTTCCTCTTATTTTCTCACAGTTTCTTTCTTCTTTTTTTTTTTGTCTTTTTTTGTCTATAAAAAAATTAATATAAAATGCTAACGTGGCTTAATCGTAACCGTTTAAATAGGAGAGGAAGGAAGCAGAGAAAAATTAGGAGGGGAGAAAATTATACTTCGTAAATTATTACTAATAAATCTCTGTACATGGACAAAAAGTTAATCTATAATATATAAAGCCAGAGCCCCACTTTGGGGTCACGGCTTCAACAAAAAACAATAGGACAAAATTGCCCCTCAACCAAAAAAATAAAAAAGAGCCCAATATAATACATCAAATAATGCATAGATAATTTGGTAATTTGATCATTTTAAAATATAATATAAATATTAGTGGGAAAAGATAAAAGAATAAAAAAATTGAAGGATTAGTGAAAATTGATGGTGCCCACATGAATGGGAAAGAAAAATCATGAATATTGTGTTTAAAATATATTAAGAGGCGTGTAATGTTGGTTATAAAAAAAGTCATTCGGATGCGGATAATAATGTGATTAAACAAGTTGTCAAATTATTGTTTTTTTTTTAACAAACAATGTCATTGTTGTGTTTAAAATATCTTGAGAGGCGTGTAATGCCGGTTATAAAAAAGGTCTTTCAGATGCGGATAATAATATGATTAAATAAGTTGTCAAATGATTGTTTATTTTTTTAACAAATGATATTATTCACACTAAGGGAAATGAGGTGGGTTTAGCCTCACAATGAGCTAACAATAATTTGATTCAATCAGTTGTTTATTAAATATTAATTTTTTTAAAAGACCTTTTGAACGCGGATATTAATGTAATTAAATTAATTGTCAAATAATTATTTTTTTAACAAACGATATTTTCTACACTAAAGGGCGGGTGGGCTTAACCTCACAATAAGCTAGCAATAATGTAATTCAGTCAATTGTTTATTAAATATTATTTTATCTATTCTTAATGTAAATTATATAAAACCGATTTTATTATGTGAATTCAGTTGCTTTAATTGGTTTATGAGGGGTTTATTCTAATATGGTCTAAAATTATTCATTTACTTTAAATATTTGACTTTTCTTTTGTCAATTTACGCATATAAATACATTTAAAATGTGTAAGTCGTGCGTAACACATAGTGATTCAAAAAATGCTTTCTACACGCGCTCATTCGAGTGCATGAAGGTGAGTACTAAAAAGAGTGTGAATTAAATATACGACTTCGAGTGCATAGAAACACAATTTTAAATATTTGAGTTACATATGTTTTTGAAAAGATTGAAAGCAACTTGATTAGTAGTACCAATGATATCTTATCTTTCCACCCCACCTTATATTCTCAACCATCACTAAAAGTTGAAAAATGAAAATTATCTTTTCTCGGCCACTCTAATTACTAAAATAACCTTGATGTGTTTTTCCTTTAACATGAAACAAATAAAATAAATAGAAAACTTCATTTTAATCCTTGGCAAATATGACTTTTTGATTAAAACCATAAGTAATTTTAGTAACTTGATACATTAATAACCTCATTTATTAATTATATTTTGATTTATTAATTATTTATCTTTTTCTTTCTAATTTTTAATGTATTAATTTTATTTCATTATAATTTTTATTTTCATTTCATTCATCGTAATATATTTTGTTGTGAACATTTAGATAAACTAATTTTTGTTATACAATATATTTTGATGTACTTTATCTTCTTCATTTAGGTATATTAAATTCATTATAATACATTTCGGTGCATATATTTAGGTACACACATTTCGATACAAATATTTAGGTACATTAATTCAATATAATACATTTTCGGTACTAACATTTCAATGCATACATTTCGGTACATACATTTAGGTATATTAATTTAATATTAATACATTTCGGTACATATATTTAGGTACATACGTTTCGGTACTAACATTTAAATAGATTAGTTCAATATAATATATTTCGGTACTAGCATTTATGTCACATCCTGGCCCGAGGCGGATCACTTCCCCGGCCCACTCTATCACCGTAGCACGATATTGTCCGCTTTGGGCCCCAACCACGCCCTCATTCTCATTTAACTTCAGAGTTCCTACGGAACCCGAAGCCAGTGAGCTCCCAAAAGGCCTCGTGCTAGGTAGGGATGAGAATATACATTTAAGGATCACTCCCCTGGACGATGTGAGATGTCACAATTTAGGTACATTAATTGAGTCTTTCAAGTTTGAAGAATGTTAAATAAAATTAATAAATTAAAAAACTCTTTTTTGGTCAAAAAATAAATTAAAATTTGTGTATTAATAAATTTAAATATTTATGTGAACACGGAAAATTCCTGAAACGAAAGAGACAAGAACAACGTGCACAAACAAATATTATGTATTTGATGATTTTGGGTTACAATCTCTCTCTATTTTGATCCTCTGATTCGATCTCCGTAAGGTGTGTATTTGTGGATGTGTGATTGATCCAAAGGGCCGTTGGGCTTGATCTAAGGATGAACGTTCTTCAAGGGCCGTGGACTTGATCTTGAAGGTGGCTTTGAGCGGATCTTCAAATGGGCTTTTGGGCTTGATCTTTGAAGAACAGTGATGAACGGATCTCCAAGGGCTTTTGGGCTTGATCTTGAAGAACAGTGATGAACGGGTCTTCAAGGGCTTTTGGGCTTGATCTTGAAGAACGGTTGGATGTATGGATTTGTCGACGTTCGTTGATCCAAAGGGTCGTTGGGGCTTGATCTTGGGTGAACGATGAACGAAGAACACTTTCTTCAAGGGCCGTCGGGGCTTGATCTTGAAAGAACGATGAACGAAGAACGAAGAAGGCTTTCTTGATTCTTCGGGAACCTGGATGCTTGAGAGCTTCGGAGTTTCAGAGCTTCAGAGCTTCAAGAGTTTTGCCTAATGATTTTCATTCCCCTTTCAAATGAATGAAATGGGCTTGTATTTATAGAATTTTCCAAGGCCTAATTTTGAATATAATATCCAGATGAAATAAGTCGTTTCTGCCAGGTGTTGACACGTGTCCTATTTGATGACTTTTCCAACTCATTTCAATTTTCGTTTAGTCACACGCCACGTGTAAAATTTATGTAATACATGAGCGTTGACACTTTGATTTATCGGTCAACATTTATTTACCGAAATTTCGATGTCTACAATCTAATGGGAGACATTAAATAAAATGCACATTAATTATTTTGAATTAAGGGCACATTAGGGACTAAAATCAATATTTAATTTAACACTAGGTTTTTTTTAAATTTTAATCTTCTTGAGGGATTAAAGTTCAAAAACCCCTAAAATAAAACAAAAAACTGAAGGAAAACTCAAAGATCCTAGGATCTGTACCAGACGTGGCTACGACAAACACCCCCTTCCCTCTAGAAAGGATTCTCTCCGAATCTTTTCGTCTATAACTCGCAGATCAAGTAATTTGGGTTCTTAAAATCTGGACTCCTGATAGTTATAATAATTTTTGGCAATTTAATCAAATTTCAAAAGGCCGGATCATTTGATCCACGAGTTTTGGAGGAAAAGATCCGAAGATGATGTCTTTCCTTTCCCTCCTAAGTTCTGCACCAGACCATGAATGCCCGACAAGGATGGATTTATATTCTCTACTTACTCTCTCTCTATATGCCTTCCTCTATTCTCTCTTACGGAATAGTTGGCAGGAGGAATCTGGTGCACGATTGCAGTTTTATTTGGGCGATTGGATATTTCTTGGTGTCATTGAGTGTTCTTCAGTTTCTTTGTCAACAAAAGTGGTTGGGTGGGTGCTGGCTAGTGACATTAATAATTTTTTTTTTATAACTTTTTTATTTTTAGATCAGTCATTTTGTATGAGGTTAAATTTGTTAATAAAACTTTTATATTAAAGTGAATGGAAAAATAAACTAATAAGATGGGCATAGCACCTCTCAACTTTTATTGATTGATTCTTCTTAGATTTATTTATTTTATTTTTTCTTAAAAAGGAGGATAACTAGTAGCAAGTCACATTTATCTACTTCTTCGGGATTCAGAGAGGCTATGGGGAATTTGACTCTGCCTGTGGTCACAGTCAAACAGACTTAACTCAGAGCATCGAACCTAGAACTTCTCATATTTTTTTGTTTATTGAGGCTGCGTCCTTACCACTATGCTACTTATTGGTATTATTCTTCTTTGATTTATTCAATTATTAAATAAAGATGTGAAAATTATTTCCGAGCTTCTAATTACTAGACTAGTATCAAACTAATAAAAAAGGAGAACGCTTCGGAATCTGCTTTGAGCACGGTGAAAACTCCATTTTTTCAATTTTGATTCCTCGCAAACTAAGTGCTTTAATTATGGTCAATTTCAAGTGATGGCATAAAGAAAATTCTTCTCCCATAAAACGATAAGAGAATAGTGGATGACTTTATATAAAGAAAAGTTTTTTTGCGCCAACAAGGATTGGCTCAGTTGATAAGATCTCTATTTTGTGTGTCGCTTAACCAAAGTTTGAATTTTATTGCCAATAGTTTTCGTTGGTGCGTGATATGTAAATTTTTACGTAAACCAAAACTAGAAATAGTTGGCAGTTAAGTGTTATGCGTAAATCTTTCTAACTCGAGGCTGCATATATACTTGACACTGATTGGGAGAATAACCAATCTCTCCGTACACTTTTGTGAATAAAAAAAAAAAAAAGATTCTTGCACAAACCCTACATTTTGTTGGCTCATATTGAGTATGCATTTAAAACCATCTGCCCTAGTTCACCAGCACCCTTGATGTTGCGATGCATGAATTTTATATGCGAAGCTATTCGTCATACACGTGACACTATTACTTGATTTATACGTATATTGGTTAGAAAAGTCTTAAGTTAGATAACTCGATTACATATTGTCACTTAATAAGATGCTACTATGTCAGTTACTTTTCATCTAAAATTAAATAAAGCATCATTTCAAAAAATTAAATTAAATAAATAAATAAAGCAAGCATATGATTAAATGAAACATTTAGGTAGAAAGCAAATGACATAGTAGCATCTTATTAAGTGAACGATATAGTAGCATCATAAGTTCGATGACAATTATAATGTGAACCATGTCAATTATAGTAATAATATACGGACATGGATGTTGATATTAAGTAGTTAACGTACCACGTGATTAGACAACCTAAGAGAATTTCTCGCCATAATAGCATCGTAAGTTCGATAATAATAATAGTGTGAACAACATGTCAATTATAGTGAATAATATGTCGAGATGCATGTTGATATTAAGTAGTTAATGAACCACGTGATCAAACAGCCTGAGCGAATCCCTCCACCATACCAAGTATGCCATGTATACACTATGCCATACCACAACCCTTCAATATCCCATCATCATGATATTTTAATTATTTACTGAATATGCCAATGGGCCAAAAAAAAAAAAAAGCTGGACAGCATAGTACCCAATTGCACAACGAATCTTTGATTCGCTGACCCCACGTGCTATGCTTGTCGGCCGACTCAAAATGTCTTGATATCTAAACTGGGCCGGGCCGAACTCTGAAGCCCATTTATAAACCCAGTTTCCCAAAATAAACACAAAGAAATGGTAGCAGAATGACGTCACCCATTTTTGAATCCAACCAATGAGGCGCGAAGTTGCTAAGCTAGACGCGAGTGGGTCGTACAGAGAAGCCCTCTACTTACACGCGCAGCCCGTCTCTGCGTGTCCTCGCGAATTCACATTCCCGCCTCTTCTCAAAGCCTGCGGAAAGCTGAGCTCCGATCAGCTCCGCAGGCACAAATTCTACATACCCATCTCGTCAAAACCGGGTTTTCGGCCGATGTTTACTCCGCCACGGCTCTCACCGGTGGTTGCATGAAGCTTCGTTTTATGGAAGATGCACTCAAGGTGTTTGAGGAAATGCCTGAACGGAACTTGGCTTCGTTGAACGCAGTGATCACTGGGTTTTTGAAAAATGGGTACTGTAGAGAGGCTTTGCGATTGTTCAAGAACGTGGGGATTGGAGGGTTCAAGCCCAATTCAGTTACAAACAAAAACTAGTATGATATTGGCGTGTGGGAGTGCAGAACACGGCGTGGAAATGCATTGCTTGGCAGTGAAGCTTGGCATTGAGAGCGATGTTTATGTTGCCACGTCTGTGCTGACTATGTATTCGAACCGCGGAGAGTTGGTTTCTGCGGCAAAGGTGTTTGAAGAAATGCCCACCAAGAATGTTGTGAGCTACAATGCTTTTGTTTCAGGGCTTCTGCAGAATGGGGTTCCAATGTGGTGTTGGATGCGTTTAAGAAAATGAGAGGATGTACAGGTGAAAACCCCAATTCAGTTACGTTGATTTCGGTTGTTTCTGCCTGTGCTAGCCTTTCGTATCTTCGATTTGGCAAGCAGGTTCACGGTTTGATCGTCAAAATTAAGATCGGGCTTGACGTTGTGATTGGAACAGCACTTGTGGACGCTTATGCTATCTTCAAAGAACTAGATGAAAAGAGTGTTGTGCCTTGGCCCGTTTATCAGTGCGGAAACGAGATTCAGATTACAACCTCACCAAATCACACTCAGTTGAACAGAATAAAATACAAGAAATAAAGACACCGAGAAATTTACGAGGTTCGGCAAAAACCTGCCTACGTCATCCGAGAGATGTTGCTATTCACTATGAGAATAACTAGTACAAGATACACTTGAGTTAAATCGACATAACCCAAACCCCAATCCCTTTGTACCCTCACATAATTTTACTAAGAGACTCACTCTCCCCAAGAGTTTCTCACTCTCACTTTATATTTTTCTACCACCCGTTCTCATCCGAATGCACTTTCAATTAGGGCTGGTTCGGGTCGGGATCCCGAACCGAAACCCCAAACCCGATTCCCAAACCAAAACATTTCGGGATGGGATTTTATATCCCGAAACCGAACCAAAACTATTGGAATCCCGAAATTCGGGATTCCCGAAAGTGTTTCGGGATTTTCGGGAAACTTCGGGATTGGGCCTTGAAGCCCAAAATGTTGGGCTTTTATAACTTTTTACAATTTTAACCTTTTTACAATTTGAAGCCCAAAATGTTGGGCTTTTAAAGAGTAAGCCCACCATTTAAAGGGTAAGCCCACCCTTTTTTCATAAAAAAAAAAAAAAAAAAGGTTACAATTGGCAATTGCAACCAGCCATTGCCCGCACAAGCACAGGCAGCCCACTTGTTTCAATTTCATCACAATATCACAGATTCACAATACCACACCTGTTTCAATTTTCATACCAAGAAAGCAACAACTAACAAGTTAAGCTTAAGTTTATAAACGTCTAACAAACTAGTTAATTAAAAGTGCATGCAACCAAAATGAAATAAGTTAAATTTTACAAACCAAACTTCCGAATGAATTTAGATTAAATTACAAACCAAAAGCAAAACATAGTTTATAAACGTAGTTCATTTCCTTTAGCCCCTTCGACCTCTTCCCCTTGTTGATGAATGACCCGTTGACGTTGGTGTTGATGGTGGTGGTGGACCCCTTCCTCTTGTTGATAATTGAACCCTCCTTTGTGTTGGATTAGATGCTCTTGAAATGGGTGGTCGTGGAGGTAATGATGGGCGGCATTGAACTTGAGGTGGTGGAGGAGGTGGCATTTCACCTTGTGTGGGATTCTCCTCACCTCCCATATTAGGCAACTCTAAAACGATAAAAACAATAAAACACAAAATATATTTAGAAAGTGAATGCATAAATTTTAAAACTAAGAAAATGAAAACATGAAATCAAATATTTCACTTACCCTTCTCCAACTCTTCAAGTTCCTTGTAGAACATAAGATCGTCAATTGTAGGCTCCTTGTAGAAAGACATTTCATTCCCCCTTAGCCAATCACTTGTACACACCAAAGCCTCAACTGTTCTCGGTGTTAGGGAAGCTCTAAAAGGATCTACAACTCTCCCACCAAGACTAAAAGCATTCTCACTAGCAACGGTGCTACTAGGAAGAGCAAAAATGTCCTGGCAACCCTACTAAGAGTTGGATATATTCCAGAATTGACTTTCCACCAATCCAAAATATTGAAACCCTCATAAGTTAAGCTTTGGTGAGGATCATTGAAATACATATCCACTTCATTGGATATCTCATTTTGTTGGGCCGCTGCTCTTTTTTGTTGGATCTTCCTTTGCATTCTTGTAGCAACATCATCATCTTCCAACCCCGAAGAATCATCTACCACAACACTTGGCCTTTGATCCACGGTAACACTACTACTACTACTAGAAACCTCTCCCTCCTTATACGCCTTAAACAAATCTGTCAAGTTTTTTTTAATAGTCGTCTTCACATCCAAGATTGCATCACATGAATAGCGGAGTTCCTCTAGACTTGCCTCCAACATTTCAAACTTGTACCTCGGGTCGAGTGCTTGGGCTATAAAGAGTATAGGGTTAACCTTTTCAATGTCCCCCCAATACTTGTCAAACTTAAGCTTCATGGAAGTTGCCACACTTTGCAAAGTGGCATTAGAGAAAGTGCAAATCTTTTCTTCTATCTCCACTTGCAATGCCATCACCGTGCCAAGTATTAAGTTTGAAGTTGGTGTCAAGGTTGCACTAAGTGTCAAGGTGGCATCATAAAACTTTTTTAAGAAAGTGAGCAAAACTCACCGCCCTCTCCCAATCTTCCACCACCGGAGGACCCACCCGTTTCACCTTGGTTGTGACCCCATTAATCTCTTTAGATACTTCCTCTTGAAAGTAAGAGATGAAAGTGTTGCACTCATCTGCCATCCTTGAGAACACTTGCTTAAATTTGAAGGCACTATTGAGCATTTCATAGGTGGCATTCCACCTTGTGACAACATCAAAAGGAATATTCGACATCCTATCAAATCTCATCAAGACGCAATACTCCCTAAAAGTCTCCAACCTCGCGGGGGATGAGTGTATGAACTTGACACAATTCCTTATCCCTTCAATCTCACGACTAAGCTCCGTCATTCCATCTTTAACTATCAAATTGAGGATGTGACAAGCACACCTCATGTGCAAGTGAGCCCCATCAAGTAAAAGAGTACCATTGGACTTGAGTCTTCTCTTCATGTAGGCAATGGCAGTGTCATTGGCACTAGCATTGTCAACGGTAATGCTAAATACCTTGTCTATGCCCCAAGTATTCAAGCATACCTCTAGACACCTCCCAATATCATCACCCTTGTGAGACGTAATTTGAACAAAATTTAGGATCCTCTTATGCAAAGCCCAATCATTATCCAAAAAATGTGCCGTCACCACCATGCAATTAATATTTTGGATTGAGGTCCAAGTATCGGTAGTGATACTCACCCTCAAACCATCAACCACCCTCTTGATTTTTTCCTTCTCTGTAAAATACAATTCTAAAACCGCCGCCGCCACCTTGTGCCTATTTGGAAGCTTGTACTTTGGATTCAAGTCATGGATCCAATCTCTAAAGTCCTCTTGATCAACCGCCCTAAAAGGCATCTCCGCTTTTATTATCCACTTCACACATTTCATATCAAGTCTTTTTTGATTAAACGTGTGAGCGACAACTTGACCCCCCATCACCCCTTGTGACAACAATGGTTGTTTCGAATCCGGAGCCTCGTAAAGACTAGAATCCGGGCATTTCTTCAAATGATTAAGAATACCTTTCGTCCCATGTCTAGAAGACTCCGCTGGCACTTGCACTTTGCAATGATTGCACTCCGCCATAACCGTTGTAATTCCAAATTCATTGGTCACTTTTACCTTAGTGGCATCATTCCAAGCCGGACTTGGCCCCTTAGTCCTATTACTTCTTTTCTGTTGACCCACCCTACTTGCTAATGTGGCCACCGAAGGCATCTGCCGCCTGTCCAATTCAACACTATCCTCCTCCTCCTCACCTTCTTCTTCCTCTATTTCTTCATCTATTTCTTCTAACCCTATATCAGCATCCATATCCGGATCATCATCACAATAATCTTCAAAGTATTCTTGAGTTCGAATGTACTGTGGTTTTCGTTTTACTAAAACCGAGATCCTAGGTGTACTAGTAGATTGTGATTGGCTACCACTACCACTACCAGAACCATCCATCCTGACAATGCACAATAATATATCACAACACAGTTCAGCATATATATAATATTCATAAACTGATCCATAAATAAAAGTGTATATAAACTCAGATGGCAGATATATAAACACAGTTCAGCATACATATATTGACAGAGTGCACATATATAAAAGTGTATATAAACTCAGATGGCAGATGTATACCACATTATATATATCAGATTACATATATTGACAGAGAGTGCAGATGTATACCACATTATATATATCACATTACATATATTGACAGAGTGCAAAATCTGACCTGTTTGTTATTGAGCTCTTGTTTAAACTTAGAAGTTAGAACCTCCCTGCTACTTATCTATGATAGCTGCTTTAAAATCTGACCTGAATACAAAATCAAATTGCCAAAATTAAGTATCACACACACTAACCAAGTCTTCACAATCGTTGCAGGGCATACAAATAGCAGGGCATGCAAAAATAGCAGGGCATGCCAAATAGCAGGGATTGAAAAATGAAAAATGGCAGGGCATCCAAATGAAAAATGTACCGGAGAAAGCAAAAACAAATTAAAACTTAACATCCATATGAATGAGTAAAATGTGTTCGAAATAAAGAGTACGGAACCTGCAGGAACTACGCAAGCCGATTACAAATTAAATTACCGAGAGAATCGATGTAATCCCCGAGCTTCTGGCACCAGAGCCTGTGCGAGTCCTCAGAGAGAGGCTCGAACACCAAGTCCTTCCTCGCCACAGCTCCTCTGTTCGCGCCACAGCAGATTCCAGCTCCGCCTTCCACAAAAGCTCTTATCCTAATCTTCGGACCTTCCGCCGCGAACCCCAGGACCTCCTTCTCGACAATCAAGCTCCGTTGAAGAAGAAGTGAGATGATTTCTTTCTCATTCTCTCTCAAGGCACAGAGATGAAGCGTTGCATGCAACTGGGAAAGCTTCTAGGCCTACTAACCTGGATTTTGGGACTCGATTGGTGTCGGATTCGAGTGTGTGAGTGAGTCGATGGAGAAGCGTCAGTCCATGGAGAAGCGGCGTGAGTCAATGGACGACGAGGACCGGCATGGATTCCTTTGTTCCAAACTTGTCCGATCAGGCTGGAGTCGACGGAGGAGTGGAGCGGCGTGAGTCAATTGAGTGATGGACGATGAGGAGCGGCGTGGATTCGACGGAGGAGTGGAGCGGGGGGACTGTGAGAGTGAGTGAGGTGAGCGGCGCCAGTGAGGTGAGAGAGCGAGAGCGACTGAGAAAGTCTGATGATAACCTAACTTCTAACAAACAAATGACCTAACTATGGACGGTTGGATTTGATTTTAACAAATCCAACGATTCAAGTAATTCCTAATTAAAAATTAAAAATAAATATATATATATATATATATAAATTATTCGGTTCGGTTCGGGATTCCCGAAAGATTTCAAAGCAGTGGCCAAATCCCAAACCGAAAATTTCGGGTCGGGATCGGTTTCGGGTACCGAATGTTTCGGGATATTTGTTTCGGGAATTTTTCGGGATAATTTCGGGACGGGATCGGGATGGTTCGGGATTTTCGGGAAAAAATTCCACCCCTACTTTCAATATAAGGTCACTCACACTCATATTTTATTCCCAACATCATGATGTCTTGAATAATCATTAAAGAAAAAGCACCACCTTTTCTCTTTTCTTACAATGATGATGTCCTTACTCATGATTATGTCTTTACATGATGATGTCCACTTTTTTGTTTAGTTTACAAGCCGAAAGTCATTTGGATTGTGGTAGTCACCATGTCTTCAATTGTTGTGAACACATGACTCATAATTACTCACAAATGTATGAGCCAAACACAACAATCTCCACCTTGGCGAATACACCATGCAAAAATCCTTGCACCCATCACCAAGGCTCATTGGCCTTACGTATCAGCATACACACCTTGAATCAACCTCGTTGGTTCTGTTCAGATTCAGTTATTGCAAATGCATGTGCAGCTGCTGCAAGCTAAAAATGACAATTTAGCTTCAGACAGGATCTCAACACATCATCGTCTCCTCCAACAGGTTTTTCTCCTCTTCATTGTCTGCAACCTGGAAACTCGTCAGCGCGCCCGTTTCCAGCAACACTCGTCGAGCCAGACAAAATTCTCACACTTCCTTTCCTCAGGACCATCTGATCACCTGTGAATCCTATAGCTCCACCTGCTGCAAAACCCCTGCAACACTTTAGACTATACATCACCAGGAGAAGTGTTGCTTCGAGTACCTAGAGGGCATACTCGAAGTCTTCCGCCACAAAATTGCTACTACACGGACCAAGATCATCCTTTCTTTTTCTCAAAGGACAATTTTTCCTTTTATGCCCGAATTCTTTGCAGTTGTAGCATTGTAGACCCTTGCCTCCGGAACCGGATTTGAACCTGTTGTCTCTCTTAGATCCTTCTCCCAATTTTCTTCCACGATTCCAACCTTGAACAGCTAAAGCAGTCTCGTGCCCACCATCAACAATGGTCTTCTTCTTTTGTGTATCATAAGACACCAAAGAAGCCTGCACCTGCTCCAAACTTACTGTATCTTTTCCATGCAGTAAGGTTGTCACAAGATTTTCATACGAATCTGGAAGTGAGGTAAGAAGTAAGAGGGCTTTGTCTTATTCCTCAACCTTAACATCAACTTTCCGCAATTGATCCAAGTATCAGTTGAACTCATTCATGTGGTCCATGAGATTCCCGCCTTCATCCATCTTTAGCTTGTACAGCTTCCGCTTCAGATGTAACTTGTTGGTCAAACTCTTAGCAATATAGAGTTTTTCCAACTTCTCCCAGAGTGCAGGCGCATAATCTTCATCCATAACATTATTGATAATGTTGTCAGCTATACAGTGTTGAATTGTGCTAACACAACGCGACTCCAGCTCCTCCCACTGGTCATCTGTCATTTCTTTAGGCTTCCCATCTTTTCCCTTTAAAGCTCTAGCCAAGCCTTGTTGAGTCAAGACATCCTTTACTCTCATCTGCCAGAGAGTAAAACTACCTTTCCCATTAAACTGCTTAACTGAAAATTCCATGGTGAACAACAAATCTGGACCTCCAACGAACCAAGCGTCCAACGATGCTCTGATACCAATTGTTGTGCCTTGGTCCGTTTATCCGTGCGGAAACGAGATTCAGATTACAACCTCACCAAATCACACTCAGTTGAACAGAATAAAATACAAGAAATAAAGACACCGAGAAATTTACGAGGTTCGGCAAAAACCTGCCTACGTCCTCCTAGAGATGTTGCTCTTCACTATGAGAATAACTAATACAAGATACACTTGAGTTAAATTAACATAACCCAAACCCCAATCCCTTTGTACCCTCACAAAATTTTACTAAGAGACTCACTCTCCCCAAGAGTTTTTCACTCTCACTCTATATTTTTCTACCACCCGTTCTCGTCCGAATGCACTTTCAATATAAGGTCACTCACACTCATATTTTATTCCCAACATCATGATGTCTTGAATAATCATTAAAGAAAAAGCATCACCTTTTCTCTTTTCTTACAATGATGATGTCTTTACTCATGATTATGTCTTTACATGATGATGTCCACTTCTTTGTTTAGTTTACAAGCCGAAAGTCATTTGGATTGTGGTAGTCACCATGTCTTCAATTGTTGTCAACCATGACTCATAATTACTCACAAATGTATGAGCCAAACACAACAAAGAGGAACTTGTTTACATGGAATGCCATGATCGCCGGAATGATATTGAATGCGCAAGCTGAGAATGCCGTTGAGCTATTTGAACAGCTAGAATTCGAAGGATTTGAACCCGATTCCGTTACTTGGAATTCAATGATCAGTGGGTTTTCGCAGCTAGGGAAGGGCATTGAAGATTTCAAGTGTTTTAAGAGAATGCAATCAGCTGGTGAAGTCCCCAGTTTAAAATCTATCGCAAGTCTTTTACCAGCGTGTGCAGATTTATCTGCTCTGCATTGTGGAAAAGAAGTTCATGGGCACGCAATTTTGGCAATGATCTGTTCATTTCACACTGGTTTGGTGGAGAAAGGATGGTAAGTTTTTAGGATGATGAACAAAGATTTTGGTCTAAAACCAAATCCTAAGCATTTCGGTTTGCATGGTTGATCTTTTGGGTCGGACTGGCAGGTTGGATGAAGCCCGAGAATGAATAAAAGAATTACCAGAGCCTTCCGGAGCAGTTTTTGATTCTTTGCTAGGTGCCTGTGAATGCCATTTGGATTCAGAAATGGGGAAAGAAGTGGCTACACAACTTTCTGAATTAGAGCCAGAGAACCTGGCACCTTTCGTCATCCTTTCGAAGATGTACGCTGCACTTGGCAGGTGGGAGGACGCAGAAAAGATTAGAGGATTGATGAATGATAAAACACAAAGAAAGCTCCCTGGCTTTAGTTTATTAAGACTGCATGAGAAGAAGATACATGAAACAAAAACTGCAACTCAATGTCCACTGTTTAAAAGTCCCAAACCAAAATTTTGAGACTCTCTGCTTCTCGGTAGAAGTTTTGGCAAACAGAAATCTCACTGATTCAACATCTCCTTCACCGCAAACCCCATGTAGTTATTGAGGTGGTCTGGTGGTTCGTAGATGAAGCAAGAGATCACATCTCTGAGTGTAATGACGCCGACAACTTCACCTTCCTCCCCAGCGACTACATGGATCCTATGAACGGACTTGGAAGCAAGACTTTCAATCACATTGCCAAGAGGCGACCCCAGTTTGCATGTAATTGGTTGGATAACTTTTCCAATTTCGTTGGTCGTTGCGATGGTGCTCATGAAGTCCCTAACAGTGAGCTTCCTGAAAGCAATTGGCACACAAATTAAGTACCTCATCAAGAATGATTGTCTTTGTCAAGTGATCAAAACAAGCATTGGTTTTGTTTCTTGACAGAAATCAGCTTATGCAGATTAGTTCAAATTCACAACTGGATGAGTTCAGTTTCATAAGTAGGTATTTCAGATCCTTCCTACTAGCAATTTGAAGTAAATGGCGGAACGTCCAATGGTGTTTTCAACCTTGAAGTTGAGAGGATTAGAGCACTCTACAGTCCATCGTGAGGACCTCTACAACGGGAATGGTTCAAAGTTTATTTTTGAATACCTGAAATTGGAGAAAAGCTCGGGTTTGAGTAGCAAGTATCTGATATCTCTGATGCTGACATTACCGACTATGTTTTTCTTGGGCCCCTCTACAACGGGAAGACCACCGATTTTGTTATCTCTCATCCTCTTGAAAGCTTCCAGTATTAGATCATTGCTCGTGATGCTAATAACCTAGCCAAGAAAACAAGGGAGCAATAATATTGAGACTCCAAATTCACTGTTTATGAAGAATATTGTTTCGGAAACCAGGCAACCTTACCTCTTCAGAGGACATGAAAGGAAGTCCGAAATCAGAGATAGGCTTTGCTGCTATGCAGTCGAACCAGTCTCTTCCTCTGCATCTCTCAAGACCCTGAACAAGTCCTGATTGAGTAATGTAGTTCTTAATGTTGGGTTGGCCTGGTTCTATTACAGGTACATTCCTCAGCCTATATTTTGAAAGTAGTAGCATAACGCTCAACATCGAACTATCTGTTGCCACTGGAATGAATGGCGCCCAGCGGAAGGATTTAAGTATTGACCTCACCTGAAACATACAAGTACATATCACATTCGGTTCACCCAGTCAAATAACTCGCAAGAAACCAATACTCTACACAGAATCTTCTTACTGTGGTTGACTTGAAGGGTTCATCATTCAGTATAACATTGTAAAAGTCTTTGCCCAATTCATCAGCAGCTGTGGGAGCATCTTTGGCTATTCCTTTCTCTGCAGCCGCACCGCCAGCCACGGCAGCTCCAACAGCAGCAGCAGTTAGCCCTACAACTGCAGCAGGACCAGTCACCCCCAATGCTAGAGCCCCAATGGCCCCTACCGCACCCGCGCCGACTCCAGCCGCTGTTGCTGACGTAGCTGATATAGCAATCGCCGCCAGCTCTGCACTCTCCAACACCCAAAGAATAATGGCAGAGTAATCTATGAGACCTAGGTACCTGCCTCTCCAATCTGAACTTGTATCTGCTTCTGGGTTGCTCACAGGAGCTGACAAAATGTTGTTTTCAGACAGAATCTTAACCGCGTCGCCAACGGATGTATCTGCCGGAATCTCAATTACTGCACATAATAATGTAACAAGGCACTGCTTTTAGCTAACCATTTATCTCAGTCAATTCATATCTCATCCATAAACACTGTAATCGCGGATTAAATAGTGATTTCTGTCACCTTTGCCTCCAGGTACTGCTGGGAAAGATGAAACCGGAATTTTCGCAAATGCATTTGTCAAAACCTCCTGTAGGGGACGAGGTAATTTCTTCCTGGATTGGATGGTTTCGAAGTAGGCATCGTAGCTTGAAAGTTTAGATCTTTCCTTAACCTCTTGTGCCATATCTACTCTGGAGACAGAAATCGAAATCTTAATCCAATGTCTTCACATGAAGTCGTAGAATCATTATACAAGAATTTTCTTAATGTAGTTCGAATTAACCAGGATTAATTTGTTTTGTGCAATTTCTGTCTCCCATCTGGGTTGAGATCCTATTAATTCGCTCTTAGATTATGTTAATTTGACATAATTAATCTAAATAGATGGCTAAGAAAACATATTCCAGAAACATAAATTGTTAGCAAAATACAAGATTAAAGAGGCTGGTGTAGGGGGTACCTCCAAATGTGTGCTTCCAATGGATTCAGAAACTGCTGTCGGACTCTGTTTCTTTGGAAACTTTGAGGATTCTCTCTTCCCTAGTAACCTCTGCATGTATGGAACCCATACTTTTGACACGTGTCACTACCTGAAATGTGTTGCATTTCTGACTCACCACTTGTCACGAGTTGGTAAGAGTTCAGTTGGGCCTGGCCCAGGATACACAAACCACTGTGAAGTTTTAGCTCTGCATTTGTTCTGTTTTTTGCCCTTGCCCAAAACTTTGGTTTCCCATTTATTTGGATTTGAGATTCTGTAGCTTTAACTTATAACTATGTAATTTGTATAATAATTTTGTGTTTAGTAGAAGTTGGTGTTCAATTTTTGACATGATTATTGAATATTAGAATTGTGATTAGTGGATTATTGGAAAATTAGAATTGTGATTAGTGGATTGTTGGAATATTAGAATTGTGATTAGTGGATTGTTGGAATATTAGGATTTTGATTAGGAGAATAGAAAATGGTATGAATTTAAGCTGATTCGATAAAATTTTACAACTTGAAATAGTAAAGAAGATAGAGAGATTGATGGGTTTTTGTTACTTTCTCTGCATCTCCCACACGTTCTGTTTAACAAACAGATGTCTCACTGCCTCATTATCTGCTCCTTAGCAAACCCCAAGTAGACATCAAAGTGATTGGGTGGTTCAAATATGAAGCAAGAAATCACATCTCTGAGTGTAATCACACCAACAACTTCTCCTTCATCATCCACCACGTACACTCTGTGAACCGATTTGGAAGCAAGAGTTTCAATCACATCGCCGAGAGTCGACTGCAGATTGCATGTAATTGGTAATATTTGTCTTCCCTGCCTTTCTGAGATTGTGTTCATGAAGTCCCTAACACTGAGATTCCTGAAAGAAAAGGGTAACAAGTTAAGTTCGATTTCACATTGGGAAGTGATTTCCACGCACGGTAAACCCTTTTCTCCTCAGGCGCACGCCTGTTTGTTTCTGGCCTTTAGATTGAGTAAATCTAGGGAAATCAAGGGACAAGATAATAACGTGCTGAAGGAGAAAAAAGGGTGTGCGGATATTATTTCCCTTTCGTGGTTGATTGACTCTGCCGAGTGGTAAAAGTAAAACCACGCATTGATTTTATTTCTTTGACAGAAATCAGTGCATGCAGATGAGGTCCAGAGTTTGGTTTCGGTACCTGAAATTGTTGAAGAGCTCTGGTTTCAGAAGAGAGAATCTGATATCGCTTATGCTTACATTACCAACTATCTTCTTCTTTGGCTCCTGCACAACTGGAAGCCCACCAATTTGGTTCTCTCTCATTTTCTTGAACGCTTCAAGTACCAGATCATCGACATTGGTGCTAATAACCTGCCCAAGAAACAATGCAACATTCATATCGAAATTCCAGATTCGCTAGTCAGCCAGAACCAGAAGAACGTTATGGTAACACGGCCAAGATTACCTCAATGGAGGACATAAAAGGAAGTCCCAGGTCAGAGATGGACTTTGCAGCAATGCAGTCGAACCATTCCATTCCTTTGCATCCCTCAAGACCCTGAACAACTGCTGATTGTGTGATGAAGTTCTTAATATCGGGTTGGCCCAATTCTATTACAGGCACATTTCTCATCCTATATTTTGAGAGTAGTAGCAAGACGGTCAACATTGAACTATCTGTCCCTACCGGAAGAAATGACTCCCAGCGAAAGGATTTCAGTATTGATCTTACCTGAAACAGTCAAGTAAATATTGTCGGCTTCGAAACTAATACTCTTGGATATAGATCGATGCAGCAATGTTGTTGTCATCTTCTTGGTAAAGAATGAACTTACTGTGGTTGTCTTGAAGGGTTCATCTTGTAGTATAACGCTGTCGAGTTCTTCGCTCAGTTTATCAGCATCTGTGGGAGAATCTCTGCCCTCTCCTTTGTCTTCAGCTGCACCTGTTAAACAATACGGCTTTCACCAATGAGGTGTTTGGCTAACGTTGAGTCATAATCGTGCGGATTTAACAAACCATTCGAGTCACATTTCACCTATTTTTCCAACTGCGCTGCCAGCCACGGCAGAGCAAACTGCTGCTGCAGTTAGGCCTGCAAGAGCAGCAGGACCAGTGACGCCCAGAGCAACTGCTCCAATAGCGCCCATGGCTCCTGCACCGCCAACTACAGCCGCGGTTGAGTGAGCCGAAGGAGAAAATGCACTGGTCTCCAACACCCAGAGAAGAATGGCGGAATAATCCACGATTCCCAGGTACCTCTCCCTCCAATCTGCACTTGCATCTGCTTCCGGGTTTCTCACAGTAGCTGACAAAATGTGGTGGTTAGACAGAGTCTTTACTGCTTCAGCAATTGATGTATCCGCTTGAATCTCCACCACTGCAAATTATAATTCATGATATAATCCTAGTTTTAAAGGGCACTGTTTCGTTTTGGCCAATCATTGATTAAAGCAGCTAATCGTTGGTATTATTATTACCTTTGCCTCCAGGAACTCCTTGGAAAGATGAGACTGGAACTTTTGAAAATGCAAATGTTAAATTTTCTTGTAGGGGACGAGATAATTTCTTCCGGGACTGGATCGTGTCGAAGTAGGCATCGTAGGATGAAATTTTAGGACTTGTGCCCTTCACCTCTTGTTCTTGGGGTTGTGCATCTGCCATGGTACACTAGAGGCAGAATTTGGGATATTAAATCCCTAAATCATAGAACAATGTAGCAGAATACCACAGCGGAATTGTTCTTAACACTCAAAATAGTCGTCATCGTGCATTTCTCCTATCTTATTTTTGCCTTACGGAATAATGCATAATGACTATTTCTAAATGCCGATAACAACTCCGTAGTAGAATGCAGTAATCACTATCAATTTGATTTGTAGAAAGGACCTTAATTATCTAACTTATCAAATTGTTTAACATCAGAAGATCAATGGATCAGATCGGAGAGAGAGAGAGGAAAAAGAAAAGAAAAAAGATCAAGAGATATAACTGAGGATTTGTCGATATTTTGATACCTCAAATGTCTGTGCTGCCGATGGCTTCAGAAATAGGATTTTGGATTCCCAGATCGTTCTCCTTCCATAAAACAATTAGCTTATGCCTCTGCATGCATGAAGTCGCAGCTTTGCCAAGTGTAGGCGCTGGACACATGTTGGGCTTATAATTCCCAATTAATTAAGTTGGTAACTAATCTTCATTTGGGTCTACTGGTTTATTGGGCCTGGCCTAGAAATCATGACGTGAATACATAGGAGAAAAATGGCATGAATGAATAACTTATCTAATCATGATGTGAATTTATTATAATTGTATAAAGTTCGGGAATAGTTATTGGCACTTCAAAAATGTCATCATGCACTCTTTTTATGAATATACATAAGGGAATGTACATATAACATTTTTGGAGCGCCAACAAAAGTTTTACAGTCTGTATTAGTTCTTACATTATGTGTATATAACACCTTATCTAATTTACACTACACCATGACTTGCTTGGTTTATGGATTTTTCTAGATGCCAAGACTTGTAGCTAGTAACTCATCAAAGATAATGAATCAAAAATCACAAAGATTCGTTCAAGTAGCTTGATGCACACCCTATTCCATTTTGGCCTGATGGGAATATTGAATTCGACGTCAACGACTCACCCCGCTTCAATTTCAGCCCAGAAGCACTTTCTACAATAGTCCCAGTACTTAGATGACTTTCTCTGATCCCAGTGGTACTACTTGTACTCCCATTGCCAACAAATGATGTGAGTGCAGCTGCCAAAGCCGATTGAAAATTTGGATTCGATGTGATTGCCTTTGTGGCGGTGGCCATTGAATCGGTGAACATCTGAGGATGATGAAGAGGAGGAGGAGAGGGTTTTTTATTTTGTATGTAGGAATAGGATTGGTACAATATGTTATGTTCTTGAAATATTGGTTGCTTTCCAACGTTTAGGGCTGATCCAACTTGATTAATTCTATTCCCATAGTTGAAATATCCAGAAGCTGTGTGATTGATGTTGTTCCAAGGAGATTGCAATTGCAATGCGTTATTGTGGTCTAAAGAAGACGAAAAGTTGAGAGATGTTGAGGGATATCTTGGGTTGGAAGAAAAGCTGCTCCCCGACGCGGAGGGGAATATTCCGAAATGAGAAGGAGATGGGACGGTGAGATCAAGAGTGATAGTTGGGTGGGAATTGTTGGTTGAGATCGAACTGTTGGGGAAGTAGAAGTGTTTCTGTGGTAGCCTTGAATTTTGAGAGAGAGTACTAGTACCACTGAAGTTTACTCCTTCGAGATTAGTGGAGGCAGAGATGGGAGCGGTGGTGGAGTTGATGAGGTCTTGTTGGGAGGTGGATGAGTGAGACTGAAGCATGGAAGCAGCGGCGGAGGTGGTGGAGGCCATGGCTGTGGCTGACATGGGAAGTGGGTGGTTGTGGCTTCCTTCGTAGGTTGTGGTTAGTATGGACATGTCCTCGGAACTTCTTTGCACCTGAAAAATATTGAACAAGCTTTAATATTACACATAAGAAACTAAGAAAGTAAAACATAGTGGTGCAAGCTGAATTTAACGAATTAAGCAGAAATGCATGCCTGTTTTCTCACAGGGCAAGATGCTGAGACACTGCAACGATAGTACGCTCTAGGGCATGGATTTCCTTTTGCTATTTTCTGTCCATATTTTCTCCATTGACATCCATCATAAATCTGTAGTATAAAACATATATAAGATATTAATCCATAATAACACGAATAAAATATAAGGAGAATCATTTATATAAAATGACTGTTTCATAATCTGCTTATATTGTCAGATGTGAATTTCTATCCTTCGTTAGGTTAATTCTTTAAATATGCATGCTGCCTAAGTCTGCAATCTACGTATTTGTTGAGCAACGTGACCTTATGTATAACAATACCTAATACCTACTTACCAAACGTCGTATTTAAATAATCAATTTGCTGGCAGTGACTTTCAATGTATATAATCGAGGTTAATTTATGGAATGCATGAAACATCTGGTTTGAAAGGTTAAGTTTGATATACTAACCGTGTGATCATCGCATCTAACTCTGACAGAAACCCTAGCTTTCTTCAAATGGGTTTGTTGCGAAACCTCATCATCTCTACTTCTCGTTGTCTTCAACGTCTTACTAGGCGGCCATATCTCAGCCAGGTCGTCTTCCTTCGGGCCTCCAGAGCTATTATCAGTTGACTGATCAGCAGCCGGCTCAAATTTGCAGCCCAACTCCAGTGCAAGTCCAGCTCCATTCAGCATTCCATTATCATCGTCATCATCTTTTCCATTAGTATTTAGTTGGCTAATCTTTTTTATCCGACCATCCTTTCTGGGCTGATCAATACTACTTGAGGTTCTCCCAAGACTAAGAGACACTAGGTCAGCTTCTTCAGTATTTTGCTCATGCGTAAGATCAAGAGCAGTACTACCACTAGTATCCGTACATTTCTTAGTTTCTCCTCCATTTTGAAGAAGGCCATGAAAATGCATCTGCAGAGACTGGTAATCCTTAGAGATTTGGGATAATAACAGCTTTAGCCTTTCGTTTTCTTCCGTAGCCTCTACCATTTCTGCTTTTGCTGATTGCAGCTCATCCTGCTAGGGCAACACAAAGGGAACATATTTACACAACGATATATTTAAGCAAAATTTGAACGATATATTTAAGCAAAATTTGAATGTAAGACATCTCACCTTTAAATGAAAAAAATATTAAAATGGAAAACTAACCAGTTATGATATACATTTAGCGGTAACGTTATGTTAAATAGGACTTGCTAAATTCTTGTGGGGACAGAGTTCAAAATGCAGAGATTTATTTTATTAATATCATTGCACATGTAAAAGTGCACCTATATCAGATGGAATCTATGTGGATTAAAAATAATATAATGTATATAATGTGTGTGTGTATATTTGTGTAAATTTTGTAGAGAAGAATTAGGCTAGATTAGTTTTTTGTCAATAATTGTGTGTGAGGCACCAACCTTCTCCCGAAGGAGAAAATGCTGTTGCACCCAGAAAATTCCCGTCCGTCCTCCCTCCATTAGATTTTATTAATAATATGAAATGAAAAGTAAAACGAACGGGAGGCTAGGCTAATACCCGCTAAAACCAATTAATGAAAGCGATATGTGAGCACACCATTCATTCGGTGTATTAAGATATATGATTCGATATCATCTGGAATCTATATCTATAAATTGACTTGGTGGGCTGTGGTAGATTCTTGATCATCTTAATTAATTCGTAGACTCTGATGATAAGTCAGATCTATCACATGATATTGATGATTGAGATATCATCATAATATGGATAAATATAGCATATTACTAAATAATTTTCTTCAACTGTGAGTAGTACTAAGTGGTACGAAAAAATGAATAAAAGCTATAAAATCTGAGTGTTATATAACATTGAAGCCACACCCATAAGTAAGATCAACTATATTTGATAATAAAATAAAAAATTAAAACTAGATCAGCTTAACATATATAAATATAGAGAATATTTTAAGGTAAATTGATGTTTTCTATTTTATCATTCAAAAGGAAGAAATTACTATAACGCTAAAATTATCCACATCCGCTTAATTTCCTTGGTTCTTTCCCATTCTTTATCTAGTTTTGCCTGTTTGTGGTTGACAAGGGCTCTATTTTTTCCAGTCGAAGGATGCTCCAAGTCTGGTTCAACATGCCACCCATGTCCTCCCTGAATTATGATATATTCATGGGGATTGAGAGGAAGACTAAGATCAATAAAACCCAATATATACAGTACGAGAAATATTTTGTAGTATCATATCAGAAGAGAAAGAAGAATCAAACATCAGAAGACAGACACGGAGATAAACAGTGAAAAAAGGAAGATTAATTAATTAATTTCCCGCCGGCCTTCAGGGTGCAATATTCTTAATCTCATATTAACTACCAAACTTCATCATCAATCCAGTTAGAATATATTTACTAAGCTAGCTTAACTCATATGTAATGATTATTTCATCAAATACCAAGTTTTGGTATTTGGTCGATTATTGTAAAACAATTTTAAGCGATATCCCAACTCATAAATTCATCTTAAATTTGAATTTTGAATATAAGATAATAAGAACAGTCCAGAAAAGAAAAGGATAAGCGAATTTCATATAGTAAATAATTAAATGAAATATTTTCACCTTGGTTATCTCCATGGGAGTACCCTCTTCATGATCACCATCAGATTTCACAGTTTTGTCTTCCAAAATTGTTTTGCCAAGAGAAGACGATTCCTCATGAGTATTATCGTTCTCCATTAATGCTTTTGAAGGCCTCTTTGGCATTTCTATGGCTGCAGTTTGGCTTCTTGTATGTGTAGGGAGAGATATATAAAGCCTGCAGATTTTGACTTTCTGTGTCTGTTTTCAATATATAACCATGCCAGTGCTTATCTATAATTTTAAATACACACACAAATAATATATATGCGTGTGTGTGTGTGTTATTAGTTACTAAAGAAAAAGAAGCTAGCTCATTGAGATATGTCAACAACGCGAACACATTTTTTCAAGGAGGAGCCGGGTGCTAGCCAAATACCCCCCAGGAAGCAAGTCGATATTATAAGTTTAGACCATTTTTGGGTGCTTTAGATTTTGGCCCTTGGAACTCAATATTTCTAGATAAAAACCCATCTATCTTTAAAGATCCATTTTAAGCCCAAATTTAAAATTTGCAAACATATGGGAACACTATTGACCTATTAATACAATTTATTTACACTCATGCCACTCATACTTTATGGTCCTTTTTCCAAATTCCTAAATTTATGCCAAATTAATAGTAGAAAAAGTGAAATAAAATGTAAAAAGTGTTTGCATTAACCGTATCCATGTCAAACTAGAAAAGTAGTTTTTTTTTTCATGATATATTTTGTAACAATTTTACCTATATTAATTGGTAGGTAAATTAGTTTGTTCCAATTATTTAAAAAAAAAAATACTACACCTATATTATATATTTTGAATCAAATAACATTCCTCTAACTTGTAGGTAAATTATTTTCTATGTATTGTTATATATGTTAGACAAGTTTTGTTGTTGTATAAACATGAGTGGAACATAATATTGTTGATTTTATACATCAAACTGCATTTCTTTTGTTATAGGTAAATTATTTTCCATGTACAAGTACTTATGTTAGGCACGTTTTGTTGTTGGTACATACAATATTTTGTATCATTGTAAAGAAAGATATTACATTACACCCATGGTATAATTGTTGTAGGTAAATTATTGGAAATTAATTTGTAGTTAGGTAATGAACATTTTGCATCATTAGAAATGAACATTTCAAATAGTAGGTAGGTAAATTAATTTGTTCTAATTATATAAAAAAAAATTACACTACACCTAGTTATATTTAATTTTTCCAATTATTAAAAAAATTTATACTACACCCAACCAAATAACATTTATCTAACTTGTAGGTAAATTATTTTCCATGTATTGTTAGATATGTTAGGCACGTTTTATTGTTGTATAAACATGGGTGTAACATAGTTTTTTTAATACTATGCATCGAACTACATTTCTTCTTAATATAGGTAAATTATTTTTCATGTATTAGTACATATGTTAGGCACGTTTTGTTGTTGGTATAAACATTATTTTGCATCATTGTAAAACAGAGATATTATATTACACCCATGGTATAATTGTTGTAGGTAAATTAATGTGCATGTAGATAATGAAATACACTGTTCTAATATATTAATAAAAAAAAGATAAATTCAAAAGTATTCAAGAGTAGGGTGAAAAAAACCGAATCGAATAGTTTTATGAAAATTCAAAGCCTTTCTAAAAAATTAATATGCAATAAATTTTTGACATTAATGTCTTTTTTTTTTTTTTGTTGCAAAATCATTTAGTCTCTCCTTACAATTAATTGTCTACATCAAATATGTAATAGGGGTATTTTAGGAATGTGAAAAATGTAAAATGTGTGAAGTAATATGAAATTAATGAATTTCTTATGTGGATCCTAGTTATTGGGTTTTCTTTGAGTAAAAAAGTGATGTAGGGTTTTATATGAAGAAAATTGAGTTAGAAGGGCTAAAATCATATTTTCAGTTTTTTTTTCCCAGTTTAAGTTTAGACCATTGTACTTATTTATAATAATTGATTAACTATGTATAAAGAAACGTAGCTAGTTAGCTAGCAAGCTAATAAAAATTAAATTAAATAGTACGATTTTAATGAAACACTAACTTTACGAGACCATGCTTCAAATATCCGAAAAATTAAACTAAAAAGATATAGAGAATCGTAATCTTTATCTTTGATAATATATTCACACAAAAAAGAGAGTGTATGAATATATTATTTACACATTTTTTTTTTTTTACTTTCTACATATTTCTCTTAATTTTTGAGACTCACATTAAATAAATTGAATAACATAAAACCACAGAAACTAACATAAAATGTATAAAAAAATAAAAAATGATGTGTGAATAACATTACTTTTTTTTTTAGGAAACCTAATGAAAAGGGCTTGAAAACTTTGAGTTTTAATGATACGGACAAAATAAAGGGTAAAGTGAATAGTACCATGATTGACTTTTTAGTGTAAAAATATGATTTCGTTAAAATAAACAGTACCGGGTGCTTTTCGTTAAAGTTTTTTTTTTTTTTTTTTACATAATCTTTCAGTCATGTTGAAAGATTTGCTTGCAATTGTATGCAAAAAAGTCACACGACTACCTACCTATACTATTCTAGTCAAACCTCATCCGCCGTCATCAAACATTTGACTCCAGTGACTTCCTTCAGATTTTAGGTGCATTTTCAGTGTACGTAGTTTCTAAATTTTTTTACGCCATTATTGGTTCATAGTTGAAAGTTTTTCAAAACCAGGGGGGATGTTTATTTATTTTAAAACAAATATGTCACAGTTCACAACATAAAAAAAATAAGGGTGGTCGACTATTGTGCTTATAATACGTGATCATGTTCAAAAACCTATTAAGTTGCGGACAGTATTTTTTGTGACAGATTCTTGTGCTAGTCAAATTTGAAATGATAAGCCAATTCGCTATGGTGAACTATTGGGTTTCTTTTAGAGTAATGCTAGGTAGATCATTTTTTAGATCAAATTTGTAAATCATATGATATGCCATCAATAAAAAATAAATATGTTAATCAACATTTTTGTAATAAGTATCAATACTCATGTCATATAATTTTACAAAATTTAGTTTAAAAAATTGACCTCCTATTATTATCCTTTGTAGGTCAACCAAGCAAAATGTTTTTTTTTTCTTAACACATGATAGCATTAGTGGATTAAATTATTAGTTGTCAAATAAGATAAGGAGGATCGGTAACCGTACCAGAGTTAGATAATGTTTATACCAACAAGGTGTCATCTATTGAAATGATTTTGTTAGTGTATAATTTTTTTTTTATTAACACTATGGAGTGGGAAGATTTAGGCTGAGCCAGTAACCTGTAGTATTTAGTGACAAGGGTTGCATAGATCGATATTTTTTTTTTATACAAGATAAATTTTTGAAGATATATTGATAAATTTTGAGTTCTTTTTTTAGTTTTTAGTTATAGGTTTTTTTTTAAGTGAAAGGTGAAGTTTTGGGGATAAATTTGAAGTCGGTGGCCGCAAGTGAAAATTCGAACTCGGATTATTGAGAGTTCCAAACATTTCTTCGTTTTCACACTTATACCAACCGTAAGATTTGAAATATGCAACGGGCCACCATCATAACATCAATAACTTGGGTTGCATCAACTAATTATTAATTTCCTTTATAAAAATAAGGCATATTTCTGTAACAAATTTTTTTAAAATAATAAACCTTTTCCGACCTTTCGAAAGCCATATAGTTGTCGAATGTGGACATAGTTGTCAACATAGAACATATATAATTATCAATTGGCCTTTGAAAACAAATTAATCCTCGGCGTATGATGAAAGCATATAAATACGATGAGCTTCCTCTTATTTTTGTATTAATTTCTTTGCTTAAATATTAAAGTCCTCGCTGTATGATGGACGCATCAAATTAATCCTTTGTAAATCAGTCGTTTACAAAGACTTCAATCTTTGGCCAAAGTTCATGAGTGAGTGAAAGAACAAATTTAAAGTTGGTGATTTTTATACAGCCCTTTTACTTCTCACAGATCTTTTAATCGCTTGAACACAATTTTATATGTATATATATAATTGATTACCGTTTGAACGCTACTTATTATACATGTATGTGACCAAAAAAAGTTGGCCGGCAGCCACAATAAAAAATAGAAGATGATGAGTTTAGTACGGTTAACACGACCCTGAGGCTCTTTCTTTTTATCCACATCATTCCGTGTAGAGTTTATAAGCCAAACTTAGTGGACTAATTATCGTTATTTAATTAGTAAACGAATAGTTCAAAACTGCAACTTTCATTACAAAAGACAAAGTAAAAAAAAAAAAAAAAAAAAAAAAAACCAAACGACAGCAGCCAGCGAGGTATATACTATATCTTAATATCAGCAACCAGCAGATGAAAATCAACTTAAAACTTAAGAACTTGTTTCATTAGCTTATCGACGATGACTTGATTAAATCTAACTAACTTGTCACACAGTACAAGCATTTTATTATTAATTCTGGCTTTAGAAATCTGATAAACATGATTACAAATCTATCTAATTAAGAAAAATAACAACTGGTAATTAAATATAAAACTAAAAAAATAGGGTCAAGGGTGTTGTACATGTTGACAGCTCAAGCCAACGGGTTTGATGGTTCACAGGGCACATGATTAAGGAGCCACTCACTAATGAATCTCAAGAAACAGATTTTTATTTTTAGGTATAAGAAAATTTTGAAACTTTTTTTTATATAAGATTCTTAATTAGTAAATAAATCAAGTGATTGTTATTGTATAAACTTAGGTCAATGGATGCTGATGATCATTCAAGTATTTGAAACTAAATTAACCTTATCTATATACACATTGAATAATTTAACACATTGACCTCTAGTAATATAATAAGATCATAGATATAGAAAATTGCCAATGGGATTGGAAATATTCTTAATTAATGACGTAAATCATCTACTTAATCACTTGTGTCTGTTTAATTAGATAAATCTTAATGTAGCAAACTTCCATAAGTCTACTTTATGCCAAAATTCATATTTTAAATTTTTAGAGAAAAAAAGTTATGTTGATGATCATTTAGCTAACTGGAACTACAATATAGATATGAGGGTTTGCAGTTTTCATGATCCTTCCAATATAGATCTGAGGGTTTGCATCTTTGATGATCCTTCCATGTGGATTGGGATGGTGTTGATGGATGGTTGCTTAGGGATCTCCTAAGGCTCGTTTTGTCTGTCCGTGTGTTTCTTAGTTTTGTTTGGGGTTTTTGACCCC